AGTGCATCAATCTTGTTCTAGGAATTCAGCTCAGGCATTAGGATCAGGTCAATTTAATAATGATATTCATTAGATATGGTAAAATATGATCCTTTATAGTTCATTTGTCTGTGGTTTCCTTGTAATCTGTCTGAGATGGTCATTAAATGCAGTCTTTGGTGCTTATTGTTCTAATGAAAATTCTGATTGTTCTCATTACTGATAAAATTATAAGACTATTTCTGTCTGAATTTCTGAGATGTGGAATTATCATTATTTATAGTTGGATTAAGGTCTTGTTTTTTATCAGCCTTCTTCAGTTGTCTGTTAATCCTGGTTAACCTTCAGGGAATTTCCAAATGAATCCTTTATTCAATTTATGGCGGTAGATTGGTCTTGTTCTATTGTCCATGTTTAGAGAGATCTTGTTCTTATTTAGTACTGCTCAGTTATTGCTTATTAGATTATACAAGTATTTCCTACAGAGTTAACTTTACTCCTTTTAGTAGTAATAATAATAATAATCTCTTTTTTCTGCTTTGGATCAGTGTAATATCTATGAACACTGTGGAAACCACTTATTTATTAATTTCCACATGACTTGAGGAAAGAAGGTGTGAAGGAAGAAAGAAAGATAGAAGTTAAGTAAGAAAGCCAGAGAAAAATAAAAAGAAAAGCAGATGAAAGGGAAAAAATATGGAGATGAAAGAAAGACATAGACCAGCTTTCTGTCTTATTACCTCTTAATCATTTTAAAATGATTGAAGCTTTATTTTATATAATAATAATAATAATAATAATAATATTTTATTCACAAACTTATAATCAAACTCTAATAATTATCTATCAGGAACATTTTAAGTTTTATGTTTATCCTTGAAGAAAGACCATTTTTAAATATTGTATATTTTGCGTGTAAGGCAACCTTTAGATAAGACAAGGTCAAAAAATATAGGAAATTTTCATAAATTTATCCTATACCTGTAGTATAAGACAACTGCTTTTTGATTATATAAAGATGATGTTATTGGAAATGTTGTTACTTACTGTATCCTTAGAAATTCAAAATAAACAAAATAACAAAACCAATTCTATATCATGTTTTTCCTACACACATCCTCTAAAAGTTTTGTTTTGTTGACATTTCTTCATTTGATCTCTTGCGAATATTGATTCTCCTTCTTCTTCTTCCTCTTCTTTTCCTATATCTAAACAGCTCCAAACAGCCTGGTGTACTAATGGTTATTTACTTATACTTCATTGACAATCACAAAATACCGCTAATAACATATGATAATGTACAATAATAGTATGTTCCACTTTCAGCATCCATAAAAGGATTTTTATTTGAAAAATAAAGGTTTATATAATATTAAATTATGTTATTACTTAACACCAAAATAATAATGAATTTTTAAATGAGAAATGAATATTGTTATCCTAAATGTTATTACAGCTGTAATTAACACTACCATGATGATTATTGAAAGTTTAATGAATGATAAAGGCTGCTGTGAATGTAGTCATAACTCGATGTTTACATCTTTTCAGCTGAGCTTGCATGGATACAAGTTGATTTCATTGATATGGAATTATTCTTCAAATAGGCAATTTATTGAAGAGCTATCAACATGTGGATGTACAAAAACCAGGCAAGATGAACACAAGCTATTTTGGCGTTGTCTAGGATGACAAAGCAAAATCCAACATTGATGAAATAAAGACTACCTTAGTTACAGCCTTATGGCATACAAACAGCTCATTGAGCGGCACCTGTGGTACGGCAGATCTGTAGATGTATACCTGGCCGAGTTGAAAAAAACTTATGTTCTTGTTGGGTGGGATGAATGACCCTATGCTTGCTTGTGCATTTGTGCATAAGTTGCCAGGCAATATGAAGTACTCACAATGTGTGGGTGTGTGAAAACCAGACAAGACAAACATATTTATTATGAAGTTATGCCAATAATATATAAGGTAGAAATGATTTTTATTACTTTTATTATCAATTTATTTGATAATGTGAATCTTTTCATGTATGTTATTGGTTATCACACCGAGGTTGAGCTTAGACTAACAACAAATATCACTCAGAATTTAAGACTTCTTTTTTTAGAATTGTAATATAAGATGACATCCAATTTTTAAGGGTGGCTTTTGGGATTTAAAAGTCATCTTATATGTGGAAATATATGGTACTTCATTCAACATTGTTAATGAAAAACAGTTCTTGTAGTGTCAAAGAATTTAATTCCACAAAAATCTAGATTAAAACAATGTAGCAAATAAAATTGAAATTAAAAAGAACATTTCTTGAATTTGTGTTGACAAAGAGAAAATCTTTTGTTTTAATCTGAAACAATGGGAAATCAAATTTTCTTTTGTATGCATTAAGTAAATGCAAGTAGCAAAATTGAGTAATTTTTCATTTTGCAGAAAGCAAGTGTTTTTCAAGAAAATGAATTAACAAGAAAATCTTGTATAAGAGTCTGAAGAATTTTTGTTTCCTTATTGAAAACTTGTCTCAGTTTATCTTCACTGTTCCTTGGTTATTAATGACGTTGTTTTAAATTTTGCAATTTTAATCTTATTTTAAAATTAATTTTCTCAACAAAATAGCATAAATAATTTCTTTGTTTTTTAGATTGTTATGTATTAGATGTCATCAAGCAAATAAATATGAAAATCAATCTTGTCTTACATTCAGGCAAAACAGAACATAACAAAGTCTCTCTCATCCCTGGAGATCCCAACTCTGAGGCAGTATCTCCTCATTCTACTAGTAGGTGCAGAGTCAGTGGCTGAGTAATTTTTGACAACCTCCAGAGGGAGAACCTATATTAAACCAACCTCCTATCATATTTGTCTCTGTGGGGAAACAAATAATTCTTTCAAAAACTTCAGAAAACTTTTTTCAGGTCAGTGGGTGATTAGTGAAAGACAACTTTCATCATTTGATTAGGTGTCTGAATTTGATTGCTAAGAAATGAGACCTGTTTTTAAATTGGGACAACTTTGATCTTTCTTAATCCATCTGAGAATTTTACAGATAACCATAAAAAAGGAATTCAATGATTATATTGAAAGGATTCTGTATAAATTTGAGAATTCATGTTTTCCCAAACAGTATAGTTTTTCCTTCTTTCTTTATGACTACTTTTGTTAACAAGTATCACCTATACATTTAAAAGTAGATGTCTGTTGTAGGTAAACTTTATGATATGTAAGAAACCTTACTACAGTTGCATAGACCTTGTGATATGCAATCTTTTCTCATAACTGTTAACTTAGCATAGGATTGTAAAAACAGCAGGAAAAATATAATTAGACACATAAAACATATTTCAGGAATATTTTTTAAGTAAAACAAAAATATTTTTTTTTTTTTTACTTATGTTTTTAATCTCTATAAAAAATGGAGAAAAGAATGGAAGTTCACATTGTCCTTTTGTTAGAATCAAAATTTAAAAATTAAGAACAAAATTATATCTGTTTTAAAGGTAAGAAAGTAAATGGGAATAAGTAAAGAAAGTAAAAAAGAATGAGTAGGGAAAGAGAAAAGAAATTAAAAAAAAACATTCAAAAGGTTAAAAACTAATTTTGAAATAAAAAAATTCAATGGAAGGAAAAATGATTAAAAGAAATGAAAAAAGGAATAAATGTTGAAAGAAAAGAAATAGTTGAATGACTAACGAATGAAACAAACTGAATTCAAGGGAAAAAAATAAGAAATTTTGTGGAAAAAATAAAATGCTTGTAAGAAACAAATGAAAAGCATAAACAAAACATAAACCATTGAGGAACAAAGAAATTAGTGAGACACATTTAGAGAAAAAAAGAAAGGAGTCGTGTGAATGAAAAATGAATGGAAATATGTGTTACGAAAGAAGTTAAAAAATGAATATACAGCCAAAAACTCTCTTTAAACAACAAATTAAGGCATTTATACTGAAATTATGACTTTGAAAATAGGAAAATATCAGAAGTAACACCTGGTATATCCGGAAGAATTGTGAAAAGAAATTGTATTGGGTGGAACCAAACAAAATGATTGAAAGTGAAAATGAAATTTGTCTGCCATTTTATTTCTTATCATTTGCTCTGTATTTTTTTCTTTCTCTTTGAAAATTTCTGATAGAGACTGCAGTAAAATACCAATTCCAAACTTCCCAAAATGAAGAAAAAAATGTATTTACCTAAATTTCTCTCAGTTATCATTCATTTTTTTATTAACTCTTTTTCAACTTCTGGCTAATGTAGGGCTGGATAACAACAGTTACATTTATGTTTTGAATTATTTTGGGGTAAAAGAGGTGAGGTTTTTTTATATGCTGTCAAATATGATAATCGTACTTAAGCAAACATTTTGCTAACAATGAATAGAGATAAAGGAATTCTGGCAAAATAAAATATGATATTCATTGGAAAGGAAATGGAATGAGGGCTGGAAGATTGTGTTGCACCAATCTATTAAGTAGGGACAGTCTGCTTACTTTGAAACTCAGCAATATTTAACTGTGTTTGAACATCAATGTTTTCCAGGAGTTGGGGAAAGTACACAACATTTTCATCTATGAGTCATGCCTATAAACTAATATCATGGAAAATTAAGTAATTTATATTTACTTATTTTCATATTTATGCTTTCATGCATAATTTTAATTTTGTAAAATTTTAATCTATATTGTTTGAGAAATATTGTGTAGTCAGTGTTACGGTTATCATCATAGACAGTGGAGTTGGCAAGCTAAGTTCAAATTCTGTCCTGGTCTGTTGAGTTAACTTTCACACTGATGGGAAAGGCATGAATTCTTCCTTTCCCTCCTATGGGTTAAATAGGAGGGCAGACTATGGGAAATCATGGCAATTTGCAGATAAAAGCATCTGTAAAGAGCTATGATCATCTATATTGTAAACGGATATGATATTAAAAAATAATAAAGCACAACTTCATTAGTCACATGGTAGAGATACTGATGAATAATATGAAAATTATCCCTGAAAATATTGTTATCTAGGCTTATGGCCCTATCACATTGAAACACTTGTTCCCATACGATCACTGAAGTTAAGAATGTCAAGCCTGGACAGTACTTAGATGGGTAACTGCTCAGGAATACCAGGTGCTATAAGCTTGGACGTGCAGAGGGGTAATGGATAATGGCTTGAAATTTTTAATCAAAGAGCTGAGTTCTGTTTAGGTTCATTATATTCACTTATGCACAAATACCCTTCAGAAAGGTAGGAATCCACCTCTTCCCCACCAACTATGGGTAAATTAGTAAGACTTGTATCACTAAAATCATTATTATCTCGAAAAAAATTTCTTACAATCTAAAAATATTTTCTAGGTTTAAAGAACCTGCAAAGGGTTGATAAGCCATAGAAAACAAATCAAAATTGTTATCACAGTTTGTAACTGATAATTACAGCTCTCAGAGAAAAAATAAAAGCTTTCAGGTCAATGTGTGTGTTTAAGAACATAGTTATTCCTATTAACAGAAAATTGATACTAAATCCTGAACTAAACAAATTTTATGTTGAAAATAGAACCAATGTGTTATTAATGACTGCCTTTATTCCTGACCACAGACAATCCCTTTTTTTGTGATTTTCAGATAGCTGTGGAATCCTGCTGATTAATAGTTACTAAGTTTGGTTATTGAATTATTTGAGTATCGTATATGCAGAGTCTTTTAAGCTTAATATTTATCACTGATTCTCTCAATTATTTTGACTTAATTCCACAAAGGTTAGTAGTGTGCCTCCTTCTCAGTCTACATTTGGTCAGCTATACCATATTTTAAAGTGTCTCCCTTTATTATAGCTTTTCATTTTCTCTCAAGCCTTATTTTTAGGAGACAGCTAGTCTCATTTTTTATATACCCCATCCCAACAGCATAAAATATTATTTTTCTATTTATAAATAGTGTAAATAACCTATTTTCATTTGTTGTCTAAGAATAAATTAATATATTTTCTTGTGGTTCTATATTTTTGGTTATTCCCCATGTAATATCCCTCACTATCACTGCTACTCTGTGTGCGTATGTGCAATACATAGAATTTTTGTATATTTGTTAATGCAAAAATAGTGCACTATAGCATAATTTTCATTAGTAGATTACTGTTAAATTGCTTAAACTTGGAAGATAAAATAATTTCCAGTTCAATCTGACCTCAATCCTACTACTAAAGTATTTTTCCAAATAAATCAGCTTATTCAAATTTCATCGATTGGTTTGTGAAATTGAACAAGACATATTTTGTAAATCTTGACAAAAAATGTTAGTGATATCTTCGACAATACTAAATACTATGAAGATTTCAATATGCATCAATGTGTTGCAAAAATATTCTAGTAAGTATAAATTGACAAAAGTAGTCTCTTCAAGAGTGATAACTCTATTATAGTTATGCTATTGTAACAGTGCAGACAAGTCAAGGATTCTTCCCTGCTTATTCATCTTATTTTCATATTAAGAAGAAATAATCGCATAAACCAAACATTATACAAGGAAAATTTGAATCAAAATTCAGCTAATAGTTGTATCAGTTATAAACTTATTGATCTATTTTTAAACACTCTCTCTCAAACACACACTCACACAAGCATCTACACATATAAATGTTTCCATACATACATATGTATATAGTATTATTGGGAATGTAAATGTTGGATGATTACAATTATCAAGAATATAATTTCTGCCAATGAAAAGATCTATTGAAGCATTTTTCATTTCTAGCAGTGAAAATCTGAAAGAGTGAAAGAAAAAATGTCTCAGGAGAAAGAGAATTTATTCACTCTTATACATTTATAGAGAAAAGTTGAATTATAGTATTTCAAAGAAATATGAAAATGATACTTATCCAATATAACTTTAATGCTGTCAGAGTTGATCAAAGAAAGTTAAAACCATTGTAATATATACACCCACTTACCTAATGTCTCACTGCAGTTGTTAGGATCAATGACATTGATACTTAAGCTCATAGTATATCATTAGAGTCAGATAAATGCAGTAAATATGTACAATATATGGCTAGTATAATGTGATGGTTAACAAGTTAGTCTTTTAGACCATTGGTAGTGTAGTGAGCTCAATCATTATTGTATCTCTCTGCCTGACTAAATTTATTTATCCATAGAAGTTGTGAAGTGGAGGTTAAGAAGCTCGTCATCTGTCAGATGTTTAAACCTTATGCTCTATCATTGTACTTTGATCCAAACTAATTTCACTTCAGACACCTACTATAGAGCAATGTTGAAGTTACTTTCACTGGCTATTGTTAGTGTGTTTGATCCTCATTGGTTGCTTCCTTGTGGCTCTGTTAGTTCATTCAATTTTAACTTACCTTGCCTGCCATAGAACAATATTTAACATGCTCATTTTCCAAGCTGTAGTCAATTTGGTCTTCATTGGGTATTCCGCTATTGTAGCCTTATGCCAAATTATGTGTACTTCATTTATAGCAGTTTTTAATAAGCTAGTCTCATTGTTAATTAAATTCTCATTGTGTGCTCCTCTATATAAGTCTTGTGCCAAATTAAAGTAGGCTTCGTCATTCTCAATCTCAGTTTAATCAAATTCTATAATTTTCTTCATATTTCTGTCCTACTTTGTTCTTATCTTTCTGCACATATATGATCAGGTATCTTTATAGAAGAGGATTTCAGAAAGTTTTTAATCTGACCAAGAAGGAATTTGCTACACATTTCTGATGTTTGGTCAGATTTTGTTAAGTGTGGGAAAAGGCTGGGGAATATATGAGCTAAAATATTGTGATAAAATTAACAAACTGATATCTTCATTTTTGCTATCCCAAGAGTTGGACTTTCTGACATTCTACGATATTCTTAGAATTTCAAACAGAACTCTTCATGAATATGTGATGGTTAAGTATACATCTCCAGTTTACCTCATAGTTGGTTCAATCTCTGCATCAGGCAATTAATTCCATATACTCTATTTCAGTGGAATGAGCAGAAGCAGTATCATAAGCATGAATTAAGAAAATGTTGCTATGTTTAACATGTATTAGTAATAAATTGGTCTGATTTTCTTTGTTTTAAATACATATTGATTAAAGAATTTTGTCTAGCAAAATTAATGTGACATCAGAAAATGATATATAAATAGAGGTGAACTGGACCTCCTACTGATTCTTCAAACATGGGTGGTTGAAATGACAAGGTGGCCTTTTAGTTTCTCTACATTTCTTTTTGCTATAACCTGTTTTAAAAGCACAATTAAATTTTTAAAATGTCTTTTTGTTTCTTCTTGCTTTGATTAGAAACAAAAAAGCCCAAAATTTTTGTCAAGAAGAAAGAAAATATGTATTCAATTAATTATAATATAGAATTGTTATAAAGGATGTTAATTTTATCAATAATAAATCAATCATAATGCTGTAGTTAATGATAGCTAATTAAAAATGATAAAAAATGTGTTTTGGTAAAGTTTTTTTGAAAAAAATTTAAGTTTGAAGGTTTTAATGTTTTGCTTATCTGTCAAATTATTGTCATGCTGCATTCCATTTGATGATCATATACAGTATTTTTTTTCCTTTGCCTCTCAAATAATTCTAAGACCTCAGTAAATTTCTGTAATGCCCACATTTCTGGTTCTGCTTCAGTTTCTTCATCATCATTAGTAGATGCTAAACAAGCTCTTCCAATTCTTCCTTTGTTAACACTTTTCGGTGGCCTTCAGTTTGTGCTTCTTCAGTAAGCATAGCAACAAAATTGTTGTATCAATGATTTTCTTAACTTTGCTATCAATTTTAGGGAAGCCTTTTAAATCATTAATGATACATTCTTGCTGCAAGCATTTACAGTTTTTAGTTTTAATTCATTGCAGCTTTGATGAATGTTCTTTATGTTCAATAGTAAAAGTTTTCCAGGATGGCATAATATCAAGATTAGGTTTTATATCAATTGCTGCCTGACTACAATCAAATACTTGAAGTTTTGATGACTAGAAATCTGGTCAAAGATTTTAAAATAGACAGTATGGCATATTGAATGAATTGATATCCACCCCCAGAAGCCAATAAAAAGTGTCAACATTTGAAGAATTTTCTCTTTTCAGTTTCACTTTGATTCCCTTTCTTATCATATTTGTCCATTCACTGTAATATCACTAATAATATAAATAAATACACCCAGTGAAGAGAAAACTTTGATATATATATATATATATATATATATATATATATATATATATATATATAAAAAAGTAGATGTGTAGGAAGTCTGTTAGAGTCAGTCAAGGAGAAAGAATTGATGACATCACAGTGAGTAGCCTAAGTGAGACATAATATTATATGGAGTAGGAAAAAGTACTTTTTGTTTTGGTGCCCATGATAACAGTGGGGACAAGAATTTAGAACCATATTGGTTTAATTTTTTTTCTTTGGTATGTGTAAAAAGAAAAAAGAAAAAAAAAAAACAGATATTTTTTAAATATGGAAAAATTATTAGCCCTAGTAGTAAAATATAACAACTGCAGTTTTGGAACTGTTTTTGGAAAACCAGAAACAACAGCAAAATTCAATTGAAGTAATACAAGAAAACAGAAAATTTAAGTTCTTTGACTCTCCTGAAGTGGTAAAAGCCATAACTGAATCACATACAATTCAGTTGATGG